AGGGGTCACTATGAGTTGGTTCTGACTCGATGGCACATAACAACAACAACAACACAATAGCAACAAAGAAAGTGATAATATGATTCATAAGTAAAATGAGCTTAACACAGAAAATTACACAGAACAAAGAAAGCAACACCACGAAAAAGCACATAAGAAAATGAAAGCAACAAATTCATACTTGTTGATAATTATGAATCTGACGAGGGACTTATCGCTAAAATTTACAGAAAACTCTAGCACCTCAACAACAAAAAGATTAACAATCCAATTAAAAAATGGGCAGAAGACATGAATAGATACTTCACCAAAGAGGATATTCAGGTGGCCAGCAGATACATGAAGAAATGTTCACAATCATTAGCCATCAGAGAGATGCAAATCAAAACAACAAGATAACATTTCACCCCACCACTAACAGAATTCAACAAGACAGAAAATAACAAATATTGGCGAGGATGTGGAAAAGACTGGGACTCTCATACACTGCTGGTGGGATTGTCAAATGATACAACCACTGTGGAAAACAGTACGGTGACTCCTTAAAAAGCTGGAATTAGAAATATCATTTGACCCAGCAATCCCATTACTAGGTATATATATCCTAAAGAAGTGAGAGCCATGACAAGAACAGACATATGCACACGCATGTTCATCGCAGCATTATTTACGATAGCAAAAAGATGGAAACAACCTATGTGCACATCAACAGAAGAATGGCTAACCAAACTATGGTACATACACACAACGGAATACTACATAACACTAAAGAATATAGAATCTGCAAAAACACTGCATAACATGGATGAAGTTGGTGGACATTATGCTGAATGAAATAAGTCAATCACAGAAGGACAAATACAGCATTAGTTCATTATTGTAAAAAGTCAAGGAAATGTTTATATATGGAAGGAAACTTTCTTTGTTGGTTGCCAAGGATGGAAGGGAAGGGGAGGGAACACTGCCACACACACACACACACACACAAAAATTGACCCATGTATTTCACTGTTCATAAATTATATTTCAACAAAATGCATTTAAAACAAACAAAACCCTCTCCCTCCCAATCGGAGGGGGATCAAAAAAATAAAATCAGACAACATACTGCATTGGGCAAATCTCCTGCAAAAGACCTCTTTCAAGTGCTAAAGAGCAAAGATGTCTCCTTGAAGGCTAAGGTGTACCTACCCAAGTTGTAGTATTTCCAATCACTTCTTAAACATGTGAGAGCTAGACAATGAATAAGGAAGTCCAAAGGAGAATTGATGCTTTTGAGTTGTGGTGCTGGTAAAGAATGCTGAGAGTACCATGGACTGCTAAAAGAACTAACAAATCTGTCCTGGAGGAAGTGCAGCTGGAATGCTCCTTGGAAGCGAGAATGGCCAGACTTCATCTCACCTACTTTGGTCAAGTTGTCAGAAGGAACCATTCCGCGGAGAAGGATATCACGCTTGGTAAAATGGAGGGTCAATGAAAAAGGAGAGGGTCTTTTAGACGGATTGGCACAGTGGCTTCAATGATGGGCTCAGGTATAGCAAGTATGTGAGGATGGCACAGGACTGGGCAGTGTTTCATTCTGTACATTAGGCTGCTATGAGTCAGCGACGACTTGACGGCACCTAACAACAATAACAATTTAATCACTATTATTTTATGTTCCAGTAATACAGAACTAGCTGCAGCCCCCCGAGCAGGCCATGTTCTCACCAGCCTCCCAGCTCTGGCACAGACTACCCTATCAGCTCTTCCATCTGCAATCTCACCCTACTCATCTGTCAAGTGTCTTATTATACAGCATTCCCCCTGCACAATGACCCCTGACACCTTCAGGCAGCTTCTAAAAGCTTCTTCCCTCAGGCTCCCACTGTACTGTATCCACCAATAATTTCATTACATCAATTACTACCATGTTTTTCCACTAAGCTGAATGTCCTCTTAGGAAAGAGGACATGGCTTTGAGTTTTGAATCTTGTGTACCTGTCGTAAACTAAAAAAAACAAAACAAAAGCCACTGCTATCGAGTCGATTCCAATTCACAATGACCCCAAAGGACGGAGTACAGCTGCCCCATAGGGTTTCCAAGGCAAAGCAGATCGCTATATCTTTCTCCCACAGAGCAGCTGGTGGGTTCAAACCACAGACCTTTTGGTTAGCAAAGTGCTTAACCACTGTGATACTAGGGTTTCCACACCTATCATCCAAACCAAAACCAAACCCACTGTCATCAAGTCAATTCCAATACATAGCGACCCTACAGGACAGAGTAGACCTGCCCCATAGGGTTTCCAAGGCTGTATATCTTTACAGAAGCAGACTGCATCATCTTTCTCCTGCAGAGCAACTGGTAGGTTTGAACCACCAACCTTTTGGTTAGCAGCCAAATGCTTTAAGCACTGTGCCACCAGAACTCCCATTCACCTATCATAGCACCTAGAAAAAAGTTAGGTGATCAATAAATACCTGTTAAATGAATTAAATTCTGGTCAAATTAAAAACCATAGTAGGGGGGTTTGGAGGAGATGGATATGATACTTCATGGTAGTAGAATCAAAAAGGTATTCCCAAGCAAGAGGAAACGGGGCAAAGGGAAAAGGTGAAACAAAGAATGACACTGAAGGTACCAGCTCTATTGCCTGGGAAGATGGCAACAATGTTCACTGATACAAGAGAAGGAAGGAGAAGCTGGTGGGGATTGCACAGTCCATGCGAAAAGGCAGAGCAGGCAGTAGGAAGCGGGTTCAGGAGGTCAGCATATGAGACATGCCTGAAGTTATTTACATGGAGGCGACAGGCACAGAGTGCCATGGACTGAACTGTGTCCTCCAAAAATACTTGGCAATTTGGCTGGGCCATGATTCTCAGTGGCCTGGCAGTTATATAATGATATAATCATCCTCATGACGTGATCTGATGTGATCAGCCTTGATCTAAGATGATTAGGGTGGGAGGCAACACCCTTACTCAGGAAACAGCCCTGATCAAATGTAAGGGGAGTTTTCTTGAGGCGTGGTCTGCATCACCTTTTATCTTATAAAAAAGGAGAGAGAAGCAAGCAGAGAGAGAGAGGGACCTACTACAACCAAGAAGGAAGAGTCAGGAGCAGAGTGCGTCCTTTGGACCCAGGGGAAGGCCAATGCCGGACACACAGAGATCTCCAAGGCACACTGGGTTCAAAGACCTTGAAAGGAGACAAGCATCTTCCCCCACAGTTGACAGAAAGTCTTCCCCTAGAGCTGGCACCCTGAATTAGAACTTCCAATCTCTTAAACAGGAGCTTAGTGGTGTAGTTCCTAAGGATCTGACTGCTAACCATAAGGCCGGCAGTTCAAACCCACCAGCCACTCCTCGGAAGGAAGACTGGGCAACATACTTCCATACCACCTTGGAAACCCAAGGAGGGGTCGCTATGAGTCAGAACTGACTCGACAGCAGTGAGTTTTGTTTTGTTTTGTTTTTTTTAACCTTTTAAAACTGTGAAAGAAAAATTTCGGTTTGCTGAAGCTATCCATTTGTGGTATTTCTGTTGCAGCAGCATAGAGAACTAAGACACAGAGTAAATAGATGAGAATGCAAAGTCAAACAGATAGCAAAGAGGGCTGAGGACAGCATTTAAAGGCTCACTCTTTAGAGACTGGGACAAGGGCCCAGCAGAGATAGAAATGGCAGTAAGAGAGGCCCAAAGAGAGCCAGAGCCAGTCAAGTGGTGGAGAAGGCAAGGAGGACAGTGTGTCAAAGGCAGAAGGGTTAACGGTGTCAGACATTCTACCCAAATCAAGGAAGATGGGAACTCAGGAAAAGATAAGAACATGTATTTAGGCTCGGAAAAACTTTTGAAAAGACAATTTAGAAGTGATGGGAGGACACAGGTTGTATCATGATGTCAATGAGTTCTAAAGAAGTGAAGACAGCTACAAAGACAGGACTACAATTCTGATCAATCTGACACAGAAAGGAAGGAGAGGGGCAGGGCAATGGTTCAAAGTGGTCAAGATGCCAAAGGGGTTGTTATTCTTAGGTAGAGTTCTGAGATCTGGTTCTTCCATTAAGTAACTATGTGCTGCTGAGTCAGCTGAGCAAGATGATAGCCAAAAGGCAGCAGAGAGGAGCACAGACGAAGACAGGGGATACATTTACGAAGAAAGGGCTGAAAGGTACTGGGAGGAGACGAGACTAACATTCAGGCAGAAAAATTATCCCAGAAAAAAATGAAGAAACATGTTTTCCCTCTGCTATGAGGAGAAGGGGGAGCTCTGGTAGCATAGTGCCTAAGGCACTTGATTGCTAACCAGAAGGCTGGCGGTTCAAACCCACCAGCCACTCCTCGGAAGGAAGGTTGGGCAATCCTACTTCCGTACTGATACTGCCTCGGAAACCCAAGGAGGGGTCGCTATTATGAGTCGGGGCCGACTCGACGGCATATAACAACAACAACAACAAATGAGGAGAAGGAAAGAGAAGTTGTGAGTGCAGTGAAGTGAGAGGTTAAGGTCACCTGAGATCTGACCGAGGCAGGAGAAAAGGCTGGGTGAGAAGCCTGAGAGTTGCTCAGAAAGTTCAAAGATCAACAAAGATAAATACAGTGATTGCCTAACAGCAAACATTAATATTATCACAGTGATTATGGCAACAGGCTGAGGGTCTAATCTAGGGAATGACAAAATAAATTAAAAAACAAAAAAGTGGCAGGAAGAAAAGACATGCTATCATTTTCACAAAATTTCTATAAAGTAAGGCATCTAAAGCAAGCCAACCCAGCCAAGCGTGAGCAAATCATTTCACACTATCTACACAGTCTCAAAGTGTCTCTCAGGCAACAGGCAAATCTTAACATTCACAAGCACACATCTCAAGCTCACCTGGAGTATTCGAGTTGCTTTTTGCTTGTAGTCGATTAATTCCTGCTTGGAGGACTCCAGGTTGGACTTATGCATTTTGACTTGCTGCTGGAGCTCATCGACTCTCTTCTTTTCATCCGAGTACTTCCTTTCTGCCAGAGTAACCGCTTCTGCCAAATTCTGACGTTCCACTTCCATTTTATTAAGGCGCGCAGCAAACTCACTCTGAGATAGATTTTTGTATCGTATTTATTACATCGTTTTGCTTTGGAATCTATTTTACAACCATCCACTGAGATATCTTAGGGGATCTATCAGCTCAGCCCAATAGCATAACAGGGAGGAGGAAACATCCTTATTTGTTAGCAAATGAAGAACAGGAAACACAAAGCTGTGGCTCCCATACATGGCAAAGCATCAGAATCAACTAGGGAGTTTGTTGAAAATCAGCCACCCAAGGAAATGGAATCACAATTTCTAGACTGGCTTGGGAATCTGTTTTGTTTTTAAGAAATTTCCCAGATGATTCTGGGTCACTTGAACACTAGGTCTGGACCACTAGAAAAAAAAAATGGAAGCATTAAATAAACATCTTTTCTAATACGATATCTAATATTTTCTTCTATTTCAAGCTAACTGATAAACTAGTTCAATGTACTTTTTTAGCTTAAGAAGCTTTTAAAACACATTCTAAAAACACAGTTACTTACATCTATAAATAAAAATATATGCTCCAGTTCTGATGATTATTGTTTCCTTTTATTCTGGAAAGCTCTCATCACCATAAAACTCAGCAGGTGAAGCAGAAGTCAGAAAGCATACAGTTGCATGCCAGTAACTACAGCCCACAGACTTCTGATTATCAACTTGTTTTGGAAAAAAGAAGCCAGAGAACTGCCCACACACATGTTGGAATTATGTGTTGAGTTCACTGGTTGGCTATTTGTTTTAAAGCTAAGTGATAAGTACGTGCAGCTACATATATAGGAGTATCTTCCCCAAGCCTATACTACTTGAGGAACTGATTATTATTGGAAAACTTTTAAGACCAGGCAACCTTTCACCCTATTGTACGTTACATAGGGTTGCTATGAGTCAGAACCAACTCGATGGCATCTGATAAGAACAAAGAACAATTTGAGTATATGAAAATAGAAACCAAGTATTTCCAAAGAAAATCTAGTGACTAGATTGTTATTGCCATAAATGTAAAATATATACCCTATTTCAAAGGATTAGTATACAGAAAAGGATGTAAAATGTCTCATTCATTTTTCATATTAACTAGTTACTGGAATGATAACACTTTGGATATACTGGGTTAAATAAAATATATTATTAAAATTTAAAAAAAAATTGCCTAATATTTACCTTTATACTCGAACTATTTTCATTTGTTGAAAGATGGACCTAGACCAGCGGTTCTCAACCCTGATTGGCCATTAGAAACACCTGTGAGTCTTGTAAAAACAAAACAACCAAACCAAACTCACTGCCGTCGAGTCGGATCTGACTCATAGCCACCCCTCCTTGGGTTTCCAAGGCAGTATCTCTACGGAAGTAGATTGCCCAATCTTCCTTCCGAGGAGTGGCTGGTGGGTTTGAACCTCCAGCCTTCTGGTTAGCAGTCAAGTGCCTTAGGCACCATGCCACCAGAGCTCCTAAAACAAAGCAAAGCAAAGCAAAATAAAACAAAGCAAACCAGCAATGCCTGGACCCTAAGCTGCAGCCATGGAACAGACTCCCTGGGAGTGGAGACTGGGCATTAGAATGTATTAAGAGTTCCACAGGTGATTCCAATGTGCAGACAAAGCTGTGAATCACTGAACAAGATGCAGAAACTCATCTAAGAGTAGAACTCAGTAACACAACTCTCTTGAAGTAAACACATCAGATCAAATTGGACTAAGCAAAAGCATTAAAAAAAAGAACAAAAAAACCAATAAACAAGATGGTCCAAATAAGCATTTAGTTAAAGTGAAAAAATATGTCTCTAATGAACAGTAACTATTTTAATTGCATCTCAACATATGAAGTTAAATAAATTTACTAAGAATCAAGCTAAAATTTCAAATATCTGCTTTACGTCACAGAAACAGAATATTCTGAAATGTGCTGCATGGTATCACACATATAACAGTGTGTATCACCAGCATCAAGTCACTGCTCCTGGTCCAAATGACAAGAGAACTGTGCTGTCTCCCATTCTCACCTGCATTTGCTTGTAGCTCTCCTGCTCTCTCTTCAGCATGGCATCAGCTTCATGCAGTCTCTCCTGAAGAGTTTGCAGAGCTTGATTCTGTAAGCTACTACCTTCAGTGTGATCCTGCATTATTCTAAAAGAAAACATATCACTGGAAATCACTCATTTCCACAGTCCACAGATACAAGTGATAAAACAGAATAATTTTTAAACTGGCTTGTTAGCACAAAAAAGTTTAACTGAAAAGCTAAAATACTCTGACAGTAATCCTTTTCCTTTTTAAAGGGATGTAATTTATATTTTAAGAAGCCTTGGTGGTGCAGTGGTTAAGAGCTTGGCTGCTAACTGAAAAGGTGATGGTTCAAACTAACAGCTGCTCCACGGGAGAAAGATGTGGCTATCTCATTCCATAAAGATTACAGACATGGAAACCCTATGGGGCAGCTCTACTTTGTCCTTTAGGGTCACTATGAGTAGGAATCAACTTGACAGCAGTGAGTTTTTAATCTATATTTTTAAGCATTAAAATATAAGCACAAAGAATACCTTGCTATATACTGAAAGATTTAAAACAAAACAAAACAAAAAAAAACTCGCTGCCATCAAGTCAATTCCAACTCACAGCAACCCCCAATTGGGTTTCCAAGGCTGTTAAATCTTTACAGAAGTAGCTGCCTCATCTTCCTCCTGCAGAGCAACTGGTGGGTTGATATTATTTAAACATTATTTTTAAATTCAGAATTTGCTAACAAAGCATGTCAAGGTTCAAACAATAATGTGAATAATTTTTAATTGTTGTTGAAAATACACATAGCAAAATATACACTAATTCAACCATTTCTACATGTACAACTCAGTGACGCTGATTATATTCTCCAAGCTGTGCAACCATAGTCACCCTCCTTTCCTGAAGTGTTCCTCCCCCATTAACATAAAACTCACAGCCCCAAGCTTTCCATCTACCCTTTCAAGTTGCTATTGTCAATTTGACCCCATACAGACAGTAATTTGGACCATTTTTAATTACACAAACTTCCAACACTATCAAAACATAAAAGCTAAATTTTCATAAGGTAGAATACACCACAATGTTTACCATTGCTTGTGCTGGAAAGAGAAAACCATTCTAGCTCCTGCTTTCATTATTAATAGAATTAGCTACCGTGATTTTTCACTCTGTAAAGCTTCTAGCACTTCCGTTCGGGTATTCAGTAGCTGATCAGCTTCTTGTAACCGCACTTTCAGTACAGCCAACTGGGAGTCCTTGGCAGCCAACGCCTCAGTCAGATCATCAACCTGGGCTCGGAGTTCTCTCGTCATCCGATCACTCTTGGAATGGTCAACAGTCCACTTTTCAATTCTTGCTCTTGCTTTGTTTAATTCTATAAAAAACAAAGTTTCACTAAGCGAACAACAAATACATCTTTCTTGGAGCACATACAGATTATCTTCTGAGTCCCTTTAGTACTTACTGCCATCATTAGGAGCTTACAAAGATCTTCAAATTTCAAGGCCAATATTCACACCTGTATTCTATTTGTGTGCTGAAAAAGGGCACACTCTTCCATAAAGACTGCTTTTTCCACAGATACATCAAAAAGCATTCGGAAGTCACACTTGTAGAGAGCACAGAGTTAACACTGAAATGGTGGATTTGCGCAGCTCTAGTAGCATAGTGCCTAAGGCACTTGACTGCTAACCAGAAGGCTGGCGGTTCAAACCCACCAGCCACTCCTCGGAAGGAAGATGGGTCAATCGACTTCCGTAGTGATACTGCCTCAGAAACCCAAGGAGGGGTCGTTATGAGTCGGGTCCGACTCGATGGCACAGAACAACAACAACAACAACAGCTGGTGACGGGAAGAACGCAGATCTAAATCAAAGCTAGGTCATGTTCACCCCCCTCTCCCCAAGTAAGACCAAGGCCAACAGAAACAAAACCCAAAAATAAACACAGAAAAGAATCTGTTTCTTTGTTATGTTGCAAAAATACTACTCTATTCACCTAGGCAATGGTGCAGGAGGAGCCTGGGCAGTGCCGCATTGAAAACTGCACCGGCATCTCCGCACCCTCCTGGACCAACTGTAACTGCAGTTTGTCACCTTTATCTATTCTTTTTAAATGTGAAGCACACTTTACAGGGTCTCAGGAAAAGCTCCATTTCTACATCCAATTTAGCCTGGGGAAAGCAAAATTGTGTTTTTTTTTTTCCCTGCAGTTAAGCCAATTCTGACAGTCTCCAAACTCTTCCCCTCCTACCCTTCTGGGCCACCGTCTGTACCTTAGCAAATCCATGCCCACTGTCACTCAGTCTTCCTAATCACCCCTAGGGATCAATGCAGAGACTTCTGTTTTCTCCTCAGCCACACTTACACATTCACACATTTCCCCATCACTACTGCAGTCATGGATAATTTTTTTCTTAATTACCTACTTCTGACGACCTCTGGGTTCCTCTACCCCAGGCGTGCCTTGCTGCACAATTCCAGAGGGCACTATTTAAACTGTATTCCATGTACTTTCTACGTCTCGGTGCAGTCCAGTGTCGTGACTCTGTCTATTAGTCCCCACTACTTTGTCTAATCCCACCCTTTGGTTCATGGATTGGTTCACCTTGAAAGGTTCAGAAAAATTAAATCAAATGAACCAGATGATAACTAATGCTCTGCTCCTCTCAATTCTGAGACTTCATGGTTCCTAAAGAATGTTGTGTTGGCGAAGAACAGTGAATATACCGTTGGCTGCCAGAAGAATGAACAGATCTTTCTTGGAAGCATAGCTAGAATGCTCCTTACAAGTGAGGACGGCAAGACTTTGTCTCACATACTTTGGACATGTTATCAGGAGGGACTGGTCCCTAGAGAAGGACACCATGCTTGGTACAATAGAAGGTAAGCAAAGAAGAGGAAGACCCTCAACGAGATGGACTGACACAGTAGCTACAACGGGCTCAAACCATCAATAACTGTGGGGATGGCTGTGTTTTGTTAGGTTGTACGTGGGGTCTCTATGAGTTGAAGCTCACTCGACCTAACAACAGCAAAGAATGACCAAACAAGCCACTGTTCCAAATTTTCATTTGGTGGGAGGATGCTGGGTCTCCTTTCCAAATCTAGGCCCTATATTCCCATGGAAGCACCATTTGACAAGTCATATCTAAAATATTTATAACAGTTCAGATGTAAGGTTTGTAATTTTTGAAATGTTAAATTCCTGACCTGGAACCATATAAATGAGACTCTACCTTCTTGAGTCTCCTTGGACCTTTGAAGTAAGGAGGCCATTTCTTGATTTAAAGACTGAACTTCATTCCTCAGCAGCTGATTCTCCAGCCGAAGGTTAGACAGCTCGTGTGACTTGCCGTTGTCATTAGATGTTGGGGTGTGGTCAGTGGAGGTACCACCTGATGATGCCTTTTCCTTTGAAGAATCCAATTGGTCTTCAGGGCCAGCATCTGAATTATTAGAGGCTACTGGGAAAAGAACACATTTTTGTTATCCTGGCACACTCACCACACACTCATTAGCTTACTTTGGTGGACTGCCTTTTGTCTCAAGTTACCTGCTCTAGCCAAAATACTTTTGAAAAACAAAAAGTCTTAACAGACTTCCCTCTGATCAAATTGCATTTTCATAAAGGGACCCCAGTGACCTCTAAGGATCCTCAAAGTCAGGATATACTCAATGAATGGTGATAAAGAATAGATACAAGAATACAGTTCTGGGAAGGAGAAAACCAGAAGTAATTTGAGCAGTTGGGTTCAGGTGAAAACAGCAAATCTTCCAGCTGTTTTTGAAAAAATGTTGATGTCTCAACTTCGAAAGTACTGGGAAGGCAAAACGGAGTAACTGTGGGTTTCAAAGCAAGGACAGTAGCAATCTGTCATGTACCAAACTAGACTCTAAAATATCTTTACCAAAGAAAGCAATCCATTCATTCATATTCACCTTGTTAATAAAAACAAGGTGTTATTAAATGTGATACAAATACAGACTTTCTCCTTTTAAAAATTACACACCCAAACCAAAAAAAAAACCAAACCCACTGCCCACGCGTTGGATCCAACTCATAGCGACCCCTTCCTTCGGTTTCCAAGGCAGTATCTCTACGGGAAGTAGATTGCCCAATCTTCCTTCTGAGGAGCGGCTGGTGGGTTTGAACCACCAGCCTTCTGGTTAGCAGTCAAATGCCTTAGGCACTATGCCACCAGAGCTCTCCCCACAAAATGAACTATTTCTAAATAACAAAAATGACTAAATCAATAACTGCATGGGTAAAAAACAAACAGACAACTTTACAAGGGAAGATGAACAAGTGGTCAATAAGCACATGAAAAAGATTTCAACATCTTTACTGATCAGGGAAATACAAATTAAAACCACAATGAGAACCAATACATGGCTAGAATGGCTAACATTAAAAAGACAACACCAAATGTTCGCAACTACACAGAGCAATTGGAACTCTCATACACTGTTGGTAGGACTATAAAATGGTATAAACACTGTGGGAATGGTTTCACAATTCCCTATGAAGCTAAACATGCACCTAATCTTTGACCTAGTAATTCTACTCATAGATAATTATCTAAGAGAAATAAGAACATCTGTCCACAAAGAGTAATACAAGAATATTCATAACAGCTTTATTCACAATAGCCACATACTAGAAACTTAAATGTTCATAAAAAAAGAAGTATAGTGTAACCATACAATGGAATATTATACCAAAATAGTTAAAAAACAAAAATAAAAAACTATTGCTATACACGGTAACATGGATGCCTCTCACTAACATTGTTGAACAAAAGCAACCAGGTACAAAAGGGTACATACTGCATGATTTCACTTACATGAAGTTTCAGAAAAGGGGAAAACTAATCAAGGTTAAAAAAAAAAAAAATCAGAACAGCAGATACTTATAGGAATAGCATATAGGAGATTAACTGGGAAGGGACAAGAGGAATTATCTGAGGTGAAGGAAATGTTCTATATCATGACAGGGGTGTAGGTTACATAGGTTATTTAGTAACAAAGAATTTGCATTTCAACATAGATGCAAAATTTGCCTAAAAGGAAAAAATAACTATAAAACAATCAGGTAGGATGAGGAGTGGGTGGAGATGAAGATGATAAAGGAATGAAAGTGGTGATCAGTATTCAAGCTCAGTGATGATTGCGGAGTTATTCTGTTGACTTGGTACAGGTCTGAATATTCCATACAAAGCTTTTTTTTTTTTTTTAAAAAAAAAAACAGATTGCAAAAAGCTTTTAGATCAAGCAAGCAAAAAGGACAAAAAAGATCTGAAAGCATAATCAACAAATAAGTATTCAAGACTTAATTATAATTTTAAAAAATACGTATCTGCTTATTCAACAAATAAATTGCAAAAAAAAAAAAAAAAAAGAGGGGGGGGAGCTGGCCTACCCTATAGATTAAAATAATCCTAAAGTCTATCTCAGCTGAATGTGATGGCTAAAACCTTATTTGGATTCTTATTCAAATAAAGCAAAATTCTTTTTTTTTTTTTTTTTAAAGTATGAGACAAATAGGGAACTCTGAACAGTGACTTGATATTAGAGAAATAGTATATTCTTTAGGTGATAATGGTATTGTGAATGTTTGCTTTTAAAGATTTATGGATGAAATGATAGGATATCTGTGATCGACTTCAAAATAATTCTGTGGACAGTGAAGATATAGCAAGGGATAGAAAATGGGAAAGTGTGGATGAAGCGGGAATGCTGGAGGTCACAATGTTCCACTAGTTGGTGTATTTTAAATTCTCTTATTAGAGATTTCATAAAAGAAATAAAGTACATAACCAAACTTGGGGGACAAATCTAATGTTCTACTTAGAAGGAAATTTACAGCCTTATACATTTATACTACAGATGATAAAATAAAGAAAATTAATGAGTTATGGATTTGTCTTAAAAAGTTATAAAAACAAAAATATAAATCCAAAGCAAAAGAGCAGGAATTAACAATAAAAACTAGAACAAAATAGAAAAAGAACAGACAACAGAAAGGATCAACGTAACTCAAACAGGTTCTCTAGGGAAAGATATTACAAACAACATTATGCCAACAAATTTTAAACCCTTACTATGTTGAAACCCATTAGACTGTGTATTTTAAATATGTAGTTTCTTTATGTCCATTATACTTCATTAAAGCTGCTTTTAAAAACAGGCATTTAACACAGTGTCAGGGAAAAGATAGGACATACTGATATTCTTGAGGCAGTCTGTGTTATCCAGCTTTGGTTTCTGCAGAGTTGGGATGAATGACGAATATCTGACTGTGTTTTAAGTTTCACACGGTGACACTATGGTGCACTGCATTACTTCTAGCCATGGTCTTTGTGACTCCCACCAGATGACTGAGCGGGACTATGCAAATTTGAGGGGATTAGATAGCTTCTTAGTAATGTAAGGTACCCGGTACCCTCATGGGGCTGGGACCACAGAAATAAGCTGTATGCAACCCTAATATAGGACTGGTCAGTCCTGTTATCCTGCTAGGCTTAAAATGAGCCCTCCCAGAGGCAGAAGGGGGTATCTCAAGGCAGAAGAGCCAGAGGTGGAGTGGAGAGCCAAGACCAAGATCCCTGTTCTGAACTGGCAGACAGCCAGAGAACCGAGATGGGCGTAAGACAGAACAGCTTACTTGCTGGACCACGGAGTGAGAAAGCTAAGTGCCTTTGAGCAGGAGGCTTGCTGGCTGAGCAGAGTGCACCTATCAAACAAAAAAAGAAAAACTTACTGCCGTCAAGTCAGATCTAACTTACAGCGACTACTGCTTAGGTTTCCGAGGTGTTATTTCTACAAAGTAGATCGCCCAACCTTCCTTCCAAGGAGTGACTGGTGGCTTTGAACCACCAGCCTTCTGGTTAGCAGTCAAATGCCTCAGGCACTATGCCACCAGAGCTAAAAGAGCTCTATAACACTTGTGGCAGCAGGGCAGAGGTCCACCTGAGAGGCTGAGGGCCA